TAACATTAATTTTGAAAACATTTCCGACAATCTCCAATAACACTTTGTTTTTACCCCAAATAACGTTTTCCGATTACGCGGACTTCCACAACAGCAACAACTACAAAAAACACACATTTGGCATAAACAACAATCGAATCGAATCGGGGTTATTTACATTTCTCTTTATTGGTAAATGCGTTTAACTTTTTTATTTTATTGTTGTTGTTGTTGCTGTTTCGTTTGATTGTTTATAATTCACACCCTCTTTTTGATTCGCAATCGTCGTCGGCACAGCAAACGCATATTAAATGCAATCAATCCAAAACTGTTCGAATCGTTTCGATTAAGAATTCGAAACGCATTGTTATTTACGCAATCATGGCAACAAGAAAAAAGGTTAAATAATGGCAACCAATGGGAGGAGGAGTAATTAAACGGAATTTAAATTAAAATGAAATGGCAAAAGGAAACAAGCAATCAGTCAATAATAGAGTGTGGAATGGTAGATAATGGTGGAGCATTTGGAGAGTGAAACCCCGAAGAAAGGAATAAAGAAGAAGAAGGCTCATATCTCTATGAGTACTGGGAAAAAATTGATACCTATAAGAGATAATTCAATTGGTAGAGCTGCCCGAACCCATATTCCATTATGTTGCAAAGCTCCAGACCCCAAGCTATACCTTTAATATTCCTGCTCTTATAATTTCATTGAAAATATTCTCCGAATATGATTAAAACTTAAATTTCCCTTCCACTAATTTTCTTTTCTGCATTTGTTTTTGAAAGGGAATTAACTTTCACCATATCGATCAACAAAATTCACTTAATTCATTTCCTTTATGTTTCTAAGATTGACTTTGGTATTTATTTTCATTTCTTTACCAAAAAAAGAATAATAATAATAATTCGAACTAAAACTTTGCAGACTTATTAAACACCATGACATTGCATGTTTGGTGGTTATGAGTGGCTTAGTTGTTTCCAATTTACTTTTTTATTTCAAAAAACAACAACATTTTGCCAACCACCCTTCGTTTGATAGCAACATTGCATGTTCGGTGTCTGGTGTTGCTGACATGGAAATCATCATCATCGACAAAGGCGTTTCCTTATTGACACCTAACAAACAATAAAATGCCCCACGACTACTTCTATAGTTCCAAAATAAAAAAAAGAAAAACTAAACAAAAGTCAGCATGAAATTCAATGCCATTAAAGTAACTGATATTATTTTTTTAAGGAACAAAAAATTCGGGGATTTTGTATTTTTAAAACATGCACGACATGTCAAAATTTTTTGATAAAATCGAACCTTAATTGTAATTTTCTTGGCTAACTTTTGACAGAGCTAACATTTATTACCAACATTTTATTTTATTGCAAGGGGTATTGATTTTATTTTTCATTTAAATAAATATTTATAAAATTGAAGAAAATACCACTTCGAAATGTCGGCTTTTGGCTAATGAGGGTATATTCACATCGATATGACAAAAATGTGCCTCATCAAAATATGTATGTCTGGCCGGTTGACCGGCGATTGGGCACGATAACTCTCGAAGGGAGTAACCGATTCGATCCAACCTTTGGGAATCACAATATTTCTTCCAAACTTAGTTCAAGTTCGAAGATGGAGAATATAGGTCCACTCCTTCAGGTACCTCCCCCACACATAGTTAATATTTTGCCGAATGAACTATCCGATTTTAACCAAACTTCGTACAATCTATTACCTTTACCAGGCCTACATCAAGTCCGTTTGTCCCCTCCTTCTGATACCTCCGCCACAAATGGTGAAACATTTTAATATTTGCAGATCAAGTCTGAAGACAGTACCCATTGGTTCAACTATTCCGATAACTCCCCCACAAATGGTCAATATGTTTAATTTTTATAAATCCAATAGCAGGTGAATGGAATGCCCGATTTGAACCAAGCTTTGCACATCCTACTATTTTTACCAATCCCAGATCAAGTTAGAAGCTAAGACCCATTGGTTCAGTCATTATGGTACCTCTCCCACAAATAGTTGTAATTTTCAATGTTTGAAACTAAACTTTGTCCGATTTCAACCAAACTTTGCACAACCTATTATCTTTATCAAGCCTAGATCAAGTCCAAAGGTGGGACCCATTGATATTATTAGGTGTTCATACTTCTTTACAATAAGTACCAACAACATTTTTGATATTTTGAGAATTTCAGACATATTTTTAAAGTTACGAGTCGGTTTCGGTATGTTGAACAAGACATAGGCCAATTTTTCAAACTGGTACATCCTAAAAAAAATATCGATATTAGTTTCAATAATTTTGGTCATATGAGGATTGAAACATATTTTTCAGGCTACTCATCGGTTTTGGTATGTTGGACGGGTCTTAGCCCAAATTTCAGGGTAAAATCCATAAAACGGTCCTCCCGACATTCAGCATTTGGTTTTCAGCTGAATGCGTGTACGTTGAACAAGACATAGGCCAATTTTTCAAACTGGTACATCCTAAACCAGTGAGCGGAGCAGTATAGTCGGACGGGGCCGACCATACGATACCCTACACAACTACCACGAACTCTATCTTTCTGAGGATGTTTATTCTGAGTCTGAGTAGTATATCGTGATATTTGCCCCCTGTTGTCCGATTAGAGGTCAACAACACCTCTTTCTTACTTTTTTCGAATATTCAGTACAGTCCTTCTAATTACTTGTCCAGATTACCTTCGCGGTGGGTTGTGTTGTGATTTTCGGATTATACTCTACTCGAAAACACACAAAAAATTATGTTTTCCGTCCATTTCATCCCAAAATTGTATCCTGATCATCACTGAAAATTGTAGGCGTTGTTCTTGACTATAACTGGAACTTCATGAAAAATTTCAAAGCCATCAGCGCGATATTTCTCCCTCTAATGTGGTAATGGGTTACTAAATAATATCTGAATACGTAAGCACCTGTAAATATTTGACTGTAACTCCCACATCTGAGTAGATACATCACTATATTTGGTATCAATTTAAAGGCCAACCACTCCTCTTGGATCTGCTATCAACTCCTGGGGTCTACATCCTCCAGGAGTAAATATATATGCCATAGAATACAAATTTTGTCATTTTTCACACAAAAGTCAGGGTCCATTTGATCCGCTAAATATTGACCGATCTTTATCAAAACATGCATGCTTATTCTCTGGCCCGATCCCCTTCTCCATGCAAAATTTCGCGGTGTTTGGGCCATAATTGCGGCCTCTGGAGCGACCAGAAAAACCGACAAAAATTTAGTATTTGGTCCATTTCATCCCCTAAATATTAACCGATCTTTTCCAAAAATAATAGGGGTCTTCATTGGCCAGAACCCATCCTACATGGCCTGTATCGTGTTTACAAATTATAATGGACAGACGGACGGACGGACACACATGTCTAGATCGACTCAGCTAGTCGAGATATGACGATCGGTATACTTAAAGGTGGGTCTAGGACCAATATTTCGCGGCGTTACAAACATTTGGGGCTGCACAAAGCTATAATACCCTGACAACATAGTTGTGTAGGGTATAAAAATATCGATATTAGCCCAAGTTTCGATAATTTTGGTCATATGAGGATGATGATTTGAAACATATTTTTCAGGCTACTCATCGGTTTTGGTATGTTGGACGGGTCCTAGCTCAATTTTTCAAACTGAGTGTCTGGTACATCCTAACGATATTAGTCCAAATTTCAGGGTATAATCCATATAACGGTCCTCCCGACATTCAGCATTTGGTTTCGAACTGAATGCGATCTTATTGGGTATCAATGCGTCTTACCAAAGAATATCAATATTGGCTATACCCTTATGGTATAGCCCCTCAGTTTTTGATATTATGAGGCTTTCAGATATGTTTTTCAGATTACTCCTGGGTTTTGGTATGTTGGACGGTCCTAGCTCAATTTTTCAAACTGAGTGTCTGACACTCCCCGCACAATTTGACAATCAGAAGAAACACTTATAAGCAAATTGTAGGTTGATTCTTTGGCAAAACTATGACCATTGATCCGCTGGATTAACGTAGGGCGTTCATTTTTTTATCGTGGTTCACCATAACTGGTTAGCCGAACATCTTCATAGAAATTCGAAAAATTTACAGTAGAACACAAATTATTGTGCGCCATGACGATGAAAGTTCTCACACATCGGCAGCGCCCTTTTGACTGGCCAACTTCTCTAAACCCGCACATCTAGAAGGCGTGATTCAATTTAGTATTCAGTATATGTTGTTGAAGCATTCAAAAACCATATTTTGAAGGTGTTTTAATCGGACAGGAGCTTCGACAAACGGTCTAAGTACATGAAAAAATGTTGGTATAAATTAGGCCAGATAACCAGATATATATGTAGTAGCCCTCGAAAATATATATAGTGGACATGGATTTTTTAATGTTTTATTTTCTCCATGCTCAGCTTTGCGGGTTCTTCCCTGTGAACCCTTATATATCAGCCTAATTTGTTCCGATTGTCTTGGCAATTTTACCACATATTCGACTATGGTATTTTTCGATGTTTAGTAACCCCTTCATAGAAACAACTCGGATTTCCTTTGGATTTTTTCAGTAGAAAAATAAGTTTGTGTATATTTTCCTCAACAGCAGATTCCGGAACATTTTCGCCACTGCGTCTAATTCTCCTTTTTTTTTGAAAGAGCTTGCTCCAAATAGGAAAATCATTGTCGGTAGGGGTGACTTTCTTTCTCTTGAATGGGAAAATTTGTTTCTTTCCTTATAAAAAGGATAATTCCTCAATATTTTTAAAATTTAGTTCAATTTTTTCTTAACATTTTCTTTACAAAATTGAAGACCTAAGCGCTAATTTTACTATTTTTTTTTTAATTAAAAAATTTAAAATATTTTCCACAGACGGCCCAAAACCTATCAAAACTTTTAGGAAAATTTTTTAGAACTTAATATAATTCACATAATTTTTTATTCATTAATTTTTAAATATTATTATTTAATTAATATAAAAATTAATTTTTCTATTCCAGGACACCGTTTGACATGGCAGGCCTATCATCGTTTGGAAGATATCCACGGCTTCTTTGATTACATGGCTCAGACATATCCTGAAATTTGCTCCGTTGAAATTATTGGTTATTCGATTGAAAAGAGGCCCTTAAAGATTTTGAAGTAAGTAAACCTCAAACCACTCTCCTTCTCCCAAAACACTTAATCATAAAATAACTGTACCTCCTCCTTTTTTCAGGATCTCCAATGGCAATGCCAACAACCCTGGTATTTGGATCGATGGTGGTATGCATGCCCGTGAATGGATTAGTCCTGCTGTTGTTACCTATATTGCCAATCAATTGCTTGAAGGATGGGATGATTTGCCCGCCTATATGCGTAATATTAACTGGTACATTCATGCTGTTGCCAATCCTGATGGTTATGAATATTCCCATACCACTGATCGTCTATGGCGTAAAAATATGAGATCTCATGGACGTGCTTGCCCCGGTGTTGATTTGAACCGTAACTTTGGTTATAAATGGGGTGGTAAGGGAACCTCCGCTAATCCTTGTTCACAAACCTACAGAGGCTCTAAGGCATTCTCCGAACCAGAGACATTCTACATTTCCAAATACATTAGCAATTTCCCACGCGATACGTTCAAGGCCTATTTGACATTCCACAGTTATGGTCAGTACATTTTGTATCCATGGGGTTATGATTATCATATTACCAAAGATATGGCTGATTTGGATTTGGTGGGACGTCAAGCAGGAACGGTAAGTTTAACTATTTCTATTGTCTTGTTAAATGGAGGGTAAATAGAAATAATGGTTTTCGTTTTTGTTTCGTTTGTTTTAGACCATTACCCGCCGCAGTGGTGTTAAATACACAGTTGGCTCCTCGGCTCACACTTTGTACCCAGCTGCTGGTGGTTCGGATGATTGGGCTAAGGGCTTTGCCGGTATCAAATATGCCTACACAATTGAAATGGGTGACACTGGTCGTTTCGGTTTTGTGCTACCCGCCTCCTACATCGAACCCAATGGCAATGATGGCTATACATTTGTGGAGACTGTTGCTCGTGCCATTACCATGGGTAAAAATGCCCGTAGACGTAAACTGAAGGCCAACACACAATAGAGATAAGGATACGCAAAAGAAAAATACGAAGGCATCCAACACACAGACCCACTCACACTGTAGTGGAGAATAGCCTAGAAGAGGAGGCCATATAACGGTCTAGTAATTTTTAGTGCCAAGATTTATACAAAGTATAAATCTTTTAATGAATGAACACAAAACAAACACACACACTAACATACATAAGTATATACATTAGCATAAATTATTTATTGATATTTACATATTAGGTAATTTATTTATTTATTGAAACATAAAAATGAGACATTAAGGAAGTAAGAAGAAAAATATTTATTTATTGCAAAAATTATTTATTTATTTATTAAACCGTAAATTATTTATTTATTTAAATTAATTTAATAATGTGAAAGAAAAGAAAGATTATTTATTTATTTTAATTTATTTATTTATTTGTGAAAAACGAGAAGAAAAATATGTATTTATTTAATTTATTTATTTTACTTTAGTTGTGTCGACCAATGAGATGTGAAGGCATAATCAATTGCCGAATGAAATAAAAAATTTTAAATATTATTAAAGTTTATTATTATATACAATTTGGTCCCAAAAATATCTTAAAAAGAAGGACCATTAAAAATTCTACTAAATGAAAACTAGAGGTTCTAAACTTCAACAAATGTATTGGGATTGATCACCAACTGTGGGGTAGTTATCAGAATCAGTTACCCAATATATCACATATTTAAATTAAATGTAATTTAGTAATTTAGTACCCAAATGTGAGCAAATTTAGTTATAAAACGCGTCCAAAAACCCCAAAATATCGAACGTTGGGGGTACCCTTTTATGGGGGCTACCCAAATAAATGGACATATATTTATAATTTTTAGTGGAGAAATTTGGTACCCAATAACAATCCAATGTACCAAATTTGAGCGAATTTAGTTATAAAACGCGCCCAAGAATCCCAAAATACCGAAAATTGGGGGTACCCTTATTCCTACCGGAATAAATGGACCTATATCTATAATTTTTAATGGATAGATTTGCTACCTAATAAGAACTCAATTACAGCAAATTCGATCGAAATCAAAAACCCCCCAAAATACTGATATTTGGGGATACCCTTATACGGGGCTACCAGAAAAAGCAGACCTATATTTATATTTTTAGTGGAGAAATGTGGTACCCAATAAGAACTCAAAGTATAAAATTTGAGCGAATTCGATTGAAAAACGCATGAGGGATACCCTTATATGGGTGCTATGCCTAAACGTGGACCGATAAAGCCCATCTTCGAACTTGACAGAAGACGACTATATGCAAAATTTTGGCGATCTATCTTAATTCGTTTAGACGTTAAAGTGATTACAACATACGGAGATGCTTATATAATTTTACGCTGATCAAGAATACATCTACTTTATAGAAACTAATATACCCTCCATACTATGGTGGAGAGTATAAAAATCCAAAAATTTACCTTTTGTGGTTTCGGTACAAGAAGCCGTGGAGCGATAAACCCTACATTTAGTCAAAATACACATATGATACAAATTTTATTTTGTACGATGTTTCAAATTTATTCATTGTTTCGACATTTGCAACACCTCCAAAAAAATCGACGAAGGAGTCATGGGATCACTCAAAATGTTGATATCGTCGATTGGGTCAAGTTAAATGAGGATACGTTAAATCGTAAATCGCTCAGGAGAAAACAAAAAATAATAAACCACAGACACTGAGATTGGAAAATTTGACTAAGACTTTGAACGAACCGAAGATGATACGTGACCTTTGTATGGACTTATATTAAAAATGTATCTGCAATCTAAAATGGATTGAAATTAATAATTTTTGGTAGGAAGATATGCCACAAAATGAGAACTTAAAATACCAAATTCATATGAGAGTATCATTGTAACGAAAATACGGGGTTACAATTACCATTGTTCTGGACCGATACTGGTCATTTTTAATAAGATAGATTGAAAACCAGAACTGTATAAATATTTTGTTTGAAAAACGTGCCCAAAATACCAAATAATGGTGGTATAGTTATATGGGGACTACCTTGAAACTTGGGCCAATATTGATATTTTTAGTAACGAAATTTTCTACCCAATGAGAATCCGAAAAGTCGGATCACTTATGTCAGGGAATGCCAAATTATAGCCATTATACCCCACGAGAACATTGGAGTTTTTATTTGATACGAGAACGCACAATTTAAGATAGAGTTTTGAAATTTGAACACTACATCTATAATGTGTAGTAATAAAAATAAAATATATCGGTCCACGTTTTGGTATAGGACAATGTTTTGACATGACCGTCATATAATGGTCCCGCCGATTTTCGATTCGACGTTTAAGGTTCTGGCCAAATAAACCACCACAATCCATATTTTGACATAGCTCCCATTATTTCGTTTAATTCTCCGGGGATTCCATACAAGCTCCACTCTGGTTATTTATTCTGAAAGTACAGCAGAATCGATTTCATGCATGCTTCGAATATTTTAAGTTTGGTTTTCCTGAATATATGTATAAAATTTACCAGCACGTCCGAAAGTATGACCTAAAAGCCACCTCCCAAGTTATAGACCTGGAGAGAGGTTTTCAAATTTGACTGCATATTGGATATCTTGGGAGAGATAAGACAGATATCATCTTCATAATCTGAATCTTTGAGTTGTCGCCGGTAGAGCAATGATGCATAATTTAGTTCAGTAGTCCTTTTCTACTCAAAAAAGTACCGTAGATTCCCCTTGACAACTTCAGTTCCATTTTAATAATTCATAAGACCATTATATTTGTTATATTATAATTTATAATTTTTTGACCGGCAAAAGAAATGCAGATAAAGTTATTAATGTGATTTGAAACTGAGATGCCTTTTATTTTATTGATTTTCCATAAAATAGGTAGTGGACCTAATTTTAGAACAATCAAAATTAGACAAGGGCATAAATTATGAAATGAATTCGGATGAAGCAAGAATTCAAATATTATTACTATCAGAATGATATGTCAATATGCTGAAAATCGATCGCAGAAATACTCTGTTATTAAAAATAGTACTCTTTTATTTCATCCAATACAGTTTTGAACAGGGGGACTGACAGAGGGTATCCTTGCTTTAATATCACGTTTGTGCTTTTTACAGCCTTATTTATTTATTATTAAGTTAATTAATGTTTTTCCTGTACAACAAAACAAAAGTCTTATAAGTGGCAGTACAGGATTATATATATAATCATATGTCCATAAGGTTTTTAATAATAAGTATCTTAGATATTATAAAAGTTGCAAAAAAATGGATACATTATGGAAAATAATAAATATGATTAATTGAGTTGAGATTGACTACAATAAAAAATAAAAAAAAATGTTTCTATTACAATTGTTAACAAAAAGAACGATTAGTAAATCAAATAAATTGTATGATCAAACCTAACGTTTTCAATTATGAAAAATGTTGTACAAGCCGTTTTTTGAAATTACTTATATTGTTAATGCATTGCAAATCAGATGGTAGAGCATTCCAATCGCGTATCGTGCCAATGTAAAATTGTCTCTCAGAAACCAGGCTCATCCGACGAAAAGGTATAATTTTTCTTCCCCTATGTGATTTTGCAAATGTAATTTTTTCGAACAGGCACGTTGGTTTTTGTTTGAGAATAGTTCTATGAAGGAGTTGTAGAGATTTGATTTTAAGAAGTGAGTCGAAATTTACTCCATACAGGGATTTATAATACTGTGAGACATTTTGTCTGTTACTTAGGCCATACACGTATCGTGTTATGCTATTAAATGCGACATTCAATTTGTGACGACAGAGGGAATCACAATTGGCAAACAGCTCACAACCATAGGAATGTTGTGAGCTAGGAATTGTTTGGCCAGCAGACAACGAATATTTGGAGGTATGTATGAATGTGTTAGCCACAGAGCCCTTAATTTTGAGTAGGTTTGTCCTACGATAGCAGTATGGATGTCGAACTCTCAGTTCCTTTTAAAGAACTGAGAGTTCGATATCCTCGTACATCACTTTTATTACACTGTGCGACAAAATTTTGGTGGTGGAACATTTTGTTGAGTGTATGAAACATCAGAAGGAAAAATTCACCCTAGGTCAAAGTTCAACGATATGGCGTGATCATTTTTTGATGGTAACCCTATTTTCGTAGAACACTTCGTCCCTCTATAACGATTCCTTGTGTTCTCTTTTCGGCAGTAATATGTTGCACCGGCTCTAATTACCACAAGATGTGATTTTTCATCTTAAAAATAAATGTTGCTCATAAGATTTTAGGTGGGACCGTCAAAGGCAAGAAATCGATAATCGTATTTTTAATGGCATTTTCTATATTTTAATAAAATCCTATATATCTATGTATTTTAATAAATTCAGTAAAAATAAATACTTTATTATGAAGAAAGAAGCGGTATTCTAAATTTGATAACCGGATAATTTTCCCACTTCTATTTGGTCTGATATATAAAGTTTGTCCCGACCTACTATACAAAGTTTTTTCTTGTTTTTAAGTGGATTTTTAGTTATTTAGTCAATATGGATCGTCATTTCATTGAGTTTCCCTAACCATATGATCGTTTGAAAAAATTCTAGTATTTTGATCTCATTGGAAACCCCTATTATTCTATGGTCACCAATTAATAATACTTTTTCCCATTTCGATAATAATCAACAAGCAATACAAGTTTGTAACAATTGATTTCATCATCGCAGAAATCCTCATTCGCAAACAATTCTGACACAATTGTCGATGTTAAAGACAACTTTCGTAATTCAATCTAAATTAATTTGGTAACATCTACAGAGATGACGATGATGAAGGAGGCGCAAAAAGTACCATTAAGTACTTGTGTATGTGTCTTAAAATGTATTATCCATTCTTTCATTATATCCTTCCATTTAATTTTTTGTTGGTTTCTTCAATGTTTGTCTACAAATGTTGAAATATTCAGTGTTTGCCAAAGGATGTGGCGGTTTGGTTTTCTTTTGTGTTTGTTTTA